CTTGCCAGGCAAGTGCTTATTCTACTGCGCTATCTCCCTGGCCCTTTGTTTTGGTTTAATTTGAGACAGGGTTTCACTGTGCAATTCAGGCTGGCCTTGAACTCAGTGATCCTCCTGCCTCACACCAGTATGTGTCCCTGGTGTGAGGCCCATTTTTGTTTTTTGAAACAGGATCTCATTGAGTCACCAGGTTGGGCTCAAATTGAATCCTCCCTACCTGAGCCTCCTAGAGTGTTGGAATTACAGGCATTTACCACTATGCTCAGCTTCTGATTAACTCATTTCTGTCTTTTTCAGCTTTGTCAGGAAACAAGAAGGGTTCTCCTTTTGGTTTCTCATCATTGGCCCCATGGCTGCCATACAGATGGATCCTGACCTAGCCAAGCAACTCTTCTTTGAAGGGGCCACTGTGGTCATTCTGAATATGCCCAAGGGGACAGAGTTTGGCATTGACTATAACTCCTGGGAGGTAGGACCCAAGTTCCGGGGTGTGAAGATGATCCCACCGGGCGTTCACTTTCTTCACTATAGTTCTGTGGACAAAGCCAATCCCAGGGATGTGGGTCCTCGTATGGGCTTCTTCCTTAGCTTGCAGCAGCGGGGGCTGACAGTCCTGCGCTGGAATGCTCTCCAGGAAGAGGTGGACTTGTCTCCAGCCCCAAAGGCTGAAGTGGAAGCTATGAGGGCTAATCTTCAGGAGCTGGACCAGTTTCTGGGACCTTACCCATATGCCACACTCAAGAAATGGATCTCACTCACCAACTTTGTCAGTGAGGCCACAATGGAGAGGTTGCAACCTGAAAGCCGGCAAATCTGTGCCTTCTCAGATGTGTTGCCTGTACTCTCCATGAAGCACACCAAGGACCGGGTGAGGCAAAATCTACCCCAGTGTGGCACTGAGTGCAAAAGTTATCAAGAAGGTCTAGCCCGGCTGCCTGAGATGAAGCCCAGAGCTGGGACAGAGATCCGCTTCTCAGAGCTACCCACACAGATGTTCCCAGTGGGTGCCACACCAGCAGAGATAACAAGGCACAGCATGGACTTGAGCTATGCACTAGAAACTCTGCTCAGCAAGCAGTTTCCCACCAACCCCCAGGATGTGCTTGGTGAGAAGGAATGGGGCTCTTTGGGAGTGGCTGAGAGATGATGTTAGTAGAGTGTTTTCTTTTGTTGTTGCTAGTCTTGTTTTTCTTATTTTCTTTTCTTTCTTTCTTTTTTTTTTTTTTTAGTAGTAGGGTGTTTTAGAATAAGTATTACATCTTGGGTTATCTAGTCAGTGATTCGTAAATCTGGCTAGGAGGCAGACTCAACCTTTGTATTTGGTAAAGATACTAATGAGAGTTTACCTTTATCCCTGGAAATTGAGTCATATTGTAGTAAGGCTTCAACAATTTGTCTGACTGTCTGTCCAACAGTCAGGCATCCTAGGTGAGCCCAGTTGCTCATAATCTTGACCAGCCCTAGTGAGGAAAAGGATTTGGCTCACACAGAGGTAGAAATAAGACTAGAGCCCAGGACTTCTGGCTCCTAGGCTAGCTCTATGTTCCTAGCACTTCCCACTGGCCCCTCAGTTTGCTGTAGTCTTAAAATGATATTGTCTCCTAGTTCACACCAGGACAATGATTTTTGATCGTTACAGGTTTTTTTTAATTTCGTTACAGTTTTGTTGCTTATCTTTAGTACAAAATATAGATATTCACTATAGAAGAAAAACAAAATTAAATTTTACTTCAAATCCTGCCTACGATTTTTCACATTTTGGTATTTATTTATTTAAACACAATTTCACTATGCAGTTCAGGCTGTCTTTAAAAAGACTTTGTAGCCCAGGCTGGTCTCAAACTCAGAATAATCCTCCTGCCTCAGCCTCCAGAGGGCTGGAATTACAGGCCTGTGCCACCTCATTCAGCCATTTGCATATATTTTCTTTCTATCCTACATATTTTCTATCTTTCATTTCATTCTTTTCTATAAATTTTAGTTTTTAAAAGTTCATTTATATGTTTACCTATGCTGTATCTATACAATAATTTTTTTTTTTTTGAGATTGAGTCTCACTAAATAGTTAAAGCTGGTCTTGAACTTAATGTGTAGCCCTGGCTGACCTCGAATTCACAGTAATCCTCCTGTATTACCCTCTCAAGTGCTGGGATTACAGGTATACCCCACCACGTTGGGTAGGCTAGTATAACTTTTATAAAGGATTAAACGATATTTGCAGGGACCAGTGAGATAGCTTCGTGGACCAAAGTGCCTGCTTAGGCCAGTTTAGGCAAGTGCAGAGACTGAGGGTCCATCCCAGTTTATCCTGGGTGCTGTGCCAGCCCCACTCCCAGGGCAGGCTGTGCTGGCCAGAGTCTGAGAGTGGTTGTGCACGCCTATATAATCCCAGCACTGGGGAGGCTGAAAACAAGAGGATCACTGTGAGTTCAAGCTACATAGTGAGACGCTGTAACAACCAAATACATTTAAAAAAAAAACTATATTTGCAGCCTGTTCAAATATAAAAGTTTTCTCATGTCACTGAAATAATAACTCCTTTTTAGTGACTGTTTAGTATCCCATAGTTACTATACAAATTCTGTATTGGTGAACATGCAAGATGTCCCTTTTTTCCTCCTGTTTTAAATATGGTTCCCTGGACTTCCTTGTATGTATGTACTTCATGTACATTTAGGGTTAGAATTGTTGCATCAGACTGTGTATGTTGTTGGAACAGTTTTACATTCTTGGCTGTTATTAGGAGACTGTTGCCTGTCTCCCTTGGCAACATTAAACATTGTTTTAACAAAGGTCTTTGCCAATTAAATGGCTAAAAATTGACATTTCTTTTCTATTTTTTCAGTATTAGTCACAGCAAACATTTGTCATGTTTTTAATAGCTGTACACCTTTTTTTTCTTTTTTAAAATATACTTTACAGATAATTTGCCTATTTTCATGTTGGAAGGTTTGTGGGATATTTGAATACAGGACTTTTTATGTCATTGGCTCAGCTGATGTTGTAAGGGAGCTTTTAAAGGGTGTCTCTTAATGCATTAATAGCACATATTTTGATATAATAAGTGACACTTGAAATTCTGACTAAGAATAAATCAAAATCCTGTTTTCTAACTCATAAGTATTGCAGTTATTCAAAGTATATCTTGCGACTTCAATTTTAGAAAAAGTTGGTGTGTTACCAGTTTTCCTTGCTTCAGCAAAATACCTGAGAAGATCAATATAAAGGAATAAAGATTTTTTTTTTTGGCTCATGGTTTCAGAAGTTTTAGTCCTTGATCACTTAGCTTCATTGTGTCTGGGCCTGTGGTAGGCAGACTGTCGTGGCAGGTGGCATGTCAAGGAATGAGGCAGTCAGGAAGTAAAGAGAGGGGAACAGGCCAGTGTCCTAGTAGCCCCTTGCAGTGCACACCCTCAGTGACACTAACTCACCAACTGTCCCCGACCTTCTAAAGCTTCATTACTTCCCAGTAGTACCATTAGCTAGGAACCACACCTTCAGTAACTGAACTTTTGGGGGATATTCAAGGTCCAAATCATAATAGTCACACATCCACAAATTTAAGTATCCTAAATGTAAAAAGAATGGATAATGTTTAGTTTCTCAAACTAACCAGGTAACTGCAAACTGGAGAGTTGAATCATTCTACATAAAAATTTGGCTGTGCTTTTGAAATTTTGATCAAACATCCAAAATAGGAAGGCCAGGTCACTAGTCACACAAATCAGTCTTGGCTCCACAACCTTAAAACAGTTTTTTTTTTAACATATCTGCAAGTCTCAGATTAAATGCCATACATTAAGGAGGTATTTAGTGGTGTGCTAATTCATTCTTTTTATGGCCCACATGTACGTATACTTCATTATATGTACAACCACTTTTGAAGCCAGAGAGGATATTTGTGGCACTTAGTTGATGCCTATGCCGTGGCTTTTGGATCAACCATTGTCTTATTTGAGACAGGCATCCAGTGGAAATAGAGAATAGTAATATTTTGAGTGATGTTTCTTGTTTATTCTAAACGTTTTACATGCACTTGGTTCCAGAGCCCATGCCCATAGCTGTCAAGCTGCTTAGAGAGATTAAATCACAGATCCCTGATTAAATAACAAAATGAGCTGGCTGGCAGGATAGCCCTAGAGTAAGGATTCATGAATTTTCCTGTTGGGTAGGCTCTAGACATGTTCCCATCCAGTGAAGAATCTATTTCATTTTTCTACTATTCACATTGTGAAAGACTTAGGTATGCAATCTTGAAACAGGAAAATACTACTGTCCTGACTAACTTTGTGAATTTTAACTGAGAAGAATGTAATGCAGCATTTCTCTTACCCTGGAGCAGTCTTCTATGTCAGGATCACCTGAGGAGCTGTTAAAAGTTGAAAAACCTGGGACTGTTAGCTCTCCTTATCTAAAATCCCTGATGGTGAGGCTTAGACAGCTTTGCTTTGGACAAGCTTTTCTACTAGTTCTGGTGGGCAGCCAGTGTTGGGGTCCTCTACACATATCAGTGGTCACATTCTGTAAACTTGTAAAATGCCAACCAAATATTGGATATATCTGCTTTCTTGCAGTCTGAATTTGCAGAATTCAAAGCCATGGTTTGGTCTCCTTAGCTTGAACTTACAGCACTTCAGTAAACACTTGCCGAGCACCTACTAGGTACAAAATTCCATGCAAGGCTCTGCTGGAATAACAAAGATTAAAAAGCCCCATTTCTGAGGTCAGTAGAATTGATGGCTCTGTTGAACTAGTAGGGTAAAGTCAGCTGGTATTGTATTCCTCAGCCTCATGATTTCTCTTCCCTCACTTGCAGGTGAACTTCAGTTTGCCTTCGTGTGTTTCTTGCTGGGCAACGTGTATGAGGCATTTGAGCACTGGAAGCGGCTCCTGAACCTCCTGTGCCGGTCAGAAGCAGCCATGGTGAAGCACCACACCCTGTATATCAACCTCATCTCCATCCTGTACCACCAGCTTGGTGAGATCCCAGCTGACTTCTTTGTGGACATTGTCTCTCAAGACAACTTCCTCACCAGCACCTTACAGGTGAGAGCAGTTTTCTGGCTGACACTCATGGGTCAGAGTGAAGCAAGGGTATGAAAGCCTTTCAGGAGGGTTACCTTTTGTTTGTTGCTATTCTTCCATGACCCTAAAGATTTCTTAATTTCAGTTACTAATCTCAAGATATTTCCTAGTTTTCTGTCTCCTACTCTGTTGTGAATTCCTCTATAGAAAGACCCTCACTCTGTGCGAGTTTCTCCAACTCCCTTTCAGAGGCTCTAGCAGTAGGGTGTTTAGAATTTGAATCCCCTTCACCTCTTTAGGTTATTCAGTTGTATTGGTCAGTTTTTTCATTATTATAATGAAATACCTGAGGCAGATTAAGAAAACAAGAGTTTTATTTAGCTCAGTTTTGGAAGCTAAATGTGCCCGGTCAGCCTCACTGGTTTGGACTTCGGTGAGGGTTTAACAGCTGATCACATCATGGTGAGAACACTTGATGGGGGAAGAGATCTGACCTAGACAGACAACCAGGGAGTCCAGGGCATGGCTGCCTTGTCCTTTTCTAACAATCCTCTCACGAAAACTGCATTAACATATTCACAATAAGGCCGTAATTCATATATCTCACTGCTGGACAGCTTAAACCACCAGTGGCATAGGCATGACTGTTCCATTGGGCAGCTTTTGATTAATCTGATCATAAAAAGACTGACAAAGGTGATTAGGTCTGTTTGTACCACAAGCTGCTCAATGGGACAGTCATGCACATACCACTGGTTGTTCAGGCTGGTGATGACGTGTTAATTCTTTCCAAGGCCACTGGACCAGTGACCTAAGAGCCTCCTACTGAGTCCAGCTCTCAGTATCACTGCTCTGAGGACCAAGCTTCTAACACATGAACCTTTAAAGAGAAACTTTATTCAAACCATGGCATCAGCTCAATACAATTTTTCTTTCTCACTGTAGCCATAAGTTGCTGAAACCCAGTAGGGCAGAGTTTTGAAGATTGTTATTCCCAGTGAAACATCTGCAGCTTCTTAGATCTCATTTAAGCATTAAAGTAGCTTTGATTTCCTGTTCAAACAAAATGTGCCAGTTTCTGCAGAGATTCTCTGACAAAAAAAGTGAAATTTGCTTTTAACTTGGCAATTAAATTTTCATTATGAGTGGTAATTAGTGAAGAAGCTTCAAACAACTTATAATCTCTATCCTGTTCTATTTCTTCCCTTTGCAAACAGATTAGTTTCCTTTATGTACTTGGGGTAGCTTCTTCTCACTCACATTTTGTAACTTTCTAAGTACAGAAGAGGCAGAAGCATCTAGCTGCCTGTTTCTATACCTTTTCTCCCGCAAACTGCTTTCTTCTCCATGTGTATGAGAGACCCCCTCGAGGCCTGCTTCATACAAGCTGGCTCCTTACTAACCTCCCTCTTCCATTCAGGGTAAGGGAAGAAACTAATATTCATTAAATGCCTTTGGGTACTAAGCACCATATTTATCACATTATTTGTGTTTCCTCATTTAATCTCTCTGGAACCCTGTAAGGTAGAGAAGATTGAGACTGAAAAAGGTTAAATCATGAAAAATCACACAATAGAAGTCAGGATTTGTGCTTGTGCTTATGCCCCAATATGCCAGATACAGTGTGGATGTCTCAGAAAAGATTCCTGATTGACATTAGTGGCGACACCATCAGGGCCCTGTTTCTTGGAAATACAGAACGCTTTTCTGAAACAAATGTGCTGTTGGAAGAATCCTATGAGTAGGCAGATGACCTGAAACTCTAGTAGTTTGAAGGACTTGTGCTAGACTATAGGGATGAATCAGTTGATGACTGCGCTTGGTCTAATCTACTTCAGAGGAATGTTAAACTGCACTTTTACTGTTTTTGGTTTTGTTTATTTGGTACAGCATTTCACTATGCAGCTTGAACTCATAGTGATCGTCTTGTTTTCAGCCTCCCCAGTGCTCAGATTACAGGCATGTACCACCACACCTGGACTCTTGGTGGCCAGCTCAGCACGCCCGGGGGCGGGGCTGGGCCCAGCGCTGGGGCCAGCGTGGCATGTAGTGCCAGGGATCAAAATCTGGTTCCTGCACTTGCCCAAGCAGGTACTTAGTCCACTGAGCTATCTCATCGGTCCTTACTAGTTCTTGGTATAACAGAAATTAAATTTTTTATTCATTTCCTGTGGGGAACTCCTCCACTAGAGGTACTAGTTTTGAGTTAGTATGAAGAAGCATCAGACTGTTGACTTACCTCTGACAGTGACCACAGCCAAAAGGAGCAGTGTGCTACCTGCTTGTGATATAAATGGTTACTGTTGCACCAATGTAAGAGGACTATACTGTTGCTGGATTTCCTGCTCATTATCAGCACAACTAGCACCCCGGCTCTGATTGCCAAGGCTTTATTCCCAGCAGTGACTTATAAAGCAGAAAAAGACCCAGCTGGATTGCTAGATATCCAGGTGGGTTGTACAAGGAAAAAAAAGTCTTTTTTCAGACTTTTCACCAAGAAAATTTGTTGTCATTTGGAAAAAGTCAGGAACTAGTCCTCTTTTTTTTTTTTTTTTTTTTTTTTTTTTGACACAGTCTCACTGTGCCAGTAAGGATGCCCTTCCATACACTGAGTCTCTCAAGTTGGCCTTGAGCTCACACAGTACTCCTGCCTTACTCTCCCAAGTACTGAGATTACAAGTATGCGCCAGCATGCTTGGCAGGGTATATGCCTTTAAAAAATTAATCAAATATTTTTGAGCTTCCTTTATATATGACATTATACTGAAAGTGTGAGGAATACACATAAGAGTTAACCAGGGTTCTTGCCCTCCAAGGATTTATTCAGTGAATTAATAGGTATTGACTGAGCCTCTACTGTATATAAGGCTGTGTTCTAGAAGTGGGAGTAAAATTATGAGCAAGAGACAATCTCTGAGGTAAAACTTGTATTTTGGTGGGGAAATAAACAGATCAATTAGCCAAGTAACTCCATATTGTGTTAAGTGTTTCAGGAGGCAGTCTTGCTCCTGCATCATTGCCCCAGCAGGACTTTTGGTCTCCCCAGACTACGCCAGAGTTTATCACCCCTCATGCATATCTTAGCCATCTGTGTCCCACACTGCCACCTGAGTTGTTCCTACATGCAGCACTGATCTTACTTCTCTGTGGCTCCTCACTGTCTAAGAAATTAAATGACCAAACGTAGATTCTGAAGCACTTCTCACCTGGCTCTTTTCCCATTCTCCAGCTTCTCTTTCCTCTCCGTTTTCCCCATCAACCTAGTGTCTGAGGGCTGGCCAAATAGCTCAGCGGATTAAAGCGCCTGCTTAGGCAGATGCAGGGGCCAGGGGGTTCAGTTCCTGGGCTTGCCATGCCAGCCCTGCCCCTGGAGTGCGCTGAGACAGCAATTGAGACTGGGCAGGTGGTATATGCCTGTAATTCCAGCCCTTGGGAAGCTGTAAACAGATGGATCTCTATGAGTCTGAAATAGTAGTGACACCCTGAACACCCTGTAGACCCTTCCCTAAAATACAAAAAAACACAACAAAACAACAACAAAAAAACCCCTAGTGTCTGTGTACTCCTCAGTCTCTTAATAGATCCTGTTGCAGAAAGGCCATACTGTCTCATGCCTTTTATTTTTTGAAGAGATGGGGTCTTACTGTTTCCTGGGCTGGTCTTGAACTTCTGGGCTCACTTGATTTTCCTGCCTTAGCCACCTGAGTATCTTGTGCCACAAGCACATGCACAATTGAAAAAGAAGCTTCTTTTTTAATTGTGAAAAGATAAGATTTTACCTCTTATTAACAGATTTTTAAATGTTTAGTAGAATATTATAGTAATGTACAACAATTTGTGCAACTCCACCCATAATACCAGCCAGATCTCTAAGAGCTATATACCATATATAACCAGAACTACCAATTTTCATGCCTTCTGGGTGGAACCTGATTTTCCTCTGCCTGCTGTGCTTGCTCATCCTACAACAGACCCTGCCAGCATCTCTCCCTGAGGCTGCATCTCATCTCTCTCCCTCCTCTCCACGCTTTTACCCTGCACTGTACTCATCACTAGTATATTGCATGAATTGTGCTTTGTGAAGTACAGAGTCTGCCCCACTCTGACACCAAGCCATGAGCTCCTTTAACACAAGGCCAGTTTTTTGTCCAACTGGTTGTTTTCAATACCTAGCCAAGGCCAACACTTCTTTCACTTTGTGTTATTAATTGTTTCTAGATAGAGTACTAATTCCTGGGGCAATATAGTGAAGTCTAATGAAGGTCATTAGGAGCATCAAAGAGAGTGATTAATTCAGATTAGAGTTGAGATTGGAAGGACGGAAGGTCAGAAATGGCTCCATGGGGGGAGGGGGCATTTAACCATGAGCTTATGGGGTTATTGGTGTGTTAAGAGACACAATATGGAAAAGGATACTACAAAACATTTTTAAAAACTAGAGAATCATACTCATACCCTATTTCAGTGAGAGTCCAGTGCCCTGCATAGATACTCAGGATTTTTGTGGCTGAATGAATCAGACCATAAAAGCTGCCTTAAGCTAGCTGCCTCCTTAAAGGCAGTCAGGTAAGTGGAGCTGGCTTCCTTACTTAGGAGCTTAAATGTCTACTGCCCATGGAGGAGAAATGGTGTTGGTATGTAAGCACTTAAAGATAGCCACATTAGCAGGGTAAAATCAGCCCCATAATGGCCTCAGCCCTTATTTTTCAGCTTTCCTATGTTAGGCACTTTTGAATAGATGCCACTGATTTTTATTAATCCCTTGGATTTAGCTTGAACAAAAATTATTTGTTTCACAAAAATAGATACAGTTTTTCTTTTAGCTAAAGTAAATTAGGTCACCATAATTTGTTTAAAACCAGTGAAAGGATAATCTGAATTTAATAGTGGTATGTTAGAAAGAGTTACATACAAAATAAGGATTCTTACTTCCCATGGCATAGCATGCAGGTATATAATCACAGACCCTGAATGCCGTGAGGGAGCTTCTTTTTCAGTTACAATAAGCTATAGACACTTTC